GATTAAAATTGAGCCGAGCTTTTTAAGGACATTCAGCACATTGAAGACCACGCATTTTTTGATTGTCTGCCTCTTGGGACCAAGAGCTTTGTCAGACAGGTCAGCATTTTTCAAATAAAGCCACGCATACTGCCATCTACAGTATACCTAAAGCAGTTGTGAAAGGCTGACAAAGAAGTTAGAGGTCATTTCTAGATTCAGAGCAAAAGATAACTCCTAGAATGAGTTTGTTCCAAAATAGTCGTCATTTTAACAAAGTCCAAGTCTTTACACACCATGTATGTCAAGCGGTCCCGTGTGGTAGTCATTTGTGTCAAGGTCGTCGATGTGTTAGGGATTAACTGATCTATTGACTTTGGGCCCCCACAATGGTCGGTCGCCTCATCGTGGCGTGGGGGTGACACTGGGTGTCGAACTGCGATGCACAGCCGAGTGTATACTCTGATAGGGCCTCCCAAGCTGTGAAGGAGTTCGACGTTTCCGGTTTCGGCCGGATGCCTAGCTAAGAACTGGCCACGCCAGATCCTCCGCCGTCTGACTTCTTCTGGTCGCTAGGCGGTCCCTCCCCGCTCCAAGCCCGGGGTCAGCGATCGCCCCGTGGAAGTCAAGAGTAGGCCTAGTAAGCCACCTCTTGTAGGGGAAAATTCATATTACTCCTCCAGTTAGAAGATTAGAAAGAAACCCTGCACATCGTATCCCGCCTACGGCGCCGGGTGGTAGCAAGAACGATGTCAGGATACTCAGGGCGCCTTTCGGATTGGACAAAAACCACACGTCTGCCCGGACGACACGCCATGGAGACTGCCTCATGCTCTGCACCTACAATGCCAGGACAGTCTCCACAAACGCCGACCTCCACGCTCTTCTCGACGCTGCAGAGCGTATCAACTACCACATCATCGCTCTGCAGGAAACGAAGTCCAGGAAGAAGGACGTGCGACAGATGAGTGATGGGACCCTCATCATTCGTGGTGAAAAGGTTCCATCACGAAACGTGGGAGACGTCGGCTTTGTCCATCCATCTATCGTCCATCTTGTCGATTCGCACGAGATCCTATCACCTCGACTAGGCATCCTACGACTACGCCCTCCACGTCAGAAGACCATCAGCATCATCAACTGCTACTCGCCAACATCAGCAGCTGACGGCTCAGAACTAGATGCTTTGTACGAAGACGTGGAGGAGGTCGTCCGCAATCGATGCGAAAATCGGGATGCCACTAGAAAAGGAATAGGATCGGGAAGTTTGGATATGGGCTCCGAAACAAAAACGGCAACCGTCTCGTTGGGCTCCTCTCCGCCGCACGACTCTTCCATGGAAACTCCATCTTCATGAAGAAAGAATATCGCCGGTGGACTTGGGAATCGCCCAACGGAACGACTCATGCTGAGATCGACCACATTCTCACCAACCGAAGGTGGAGCTTACTCGATGTCTCTGTAGTTCCATCCTTCTGTAGTGGCTCTCACCGCCTCCTTCGAGCGAAGATACGACTCAGCCGAAGGCTGGAAAAGAAAGTCTGTCATAGTGCCGCGAGAAGGAAGGAAGTCGTTTATGACGGTAACAGGCTGGAAGAGCTCATATCAAGTTGTGACTGGCCCATCGAGGAGGACCCAACGTACGACTACGACCGGCTTCTGAAAGGATTGCGAGCCTGCGGAGAATGCGCCTCAGTGACTTCTGAGAAGAACTTGGACCGCATCTCGAAGACCACCAAGGAATTGCTCGAAAGAAGAAGATCATTGAGGCAGGATCCGAATGCAACTCATCTCGAGCGACTGATAGCCAACGCCAGTTGCAGAGCAGCTTTGCAAGAGGATCTCAGGAAGTACAGGCAAGCCAAGATACTGGAAGCAGCCGAAAGAAGACGAAGTCTCAAGAAGTGCCGAAGGGACCTCTGCGAATATCACGTACCGCTGGCTGCACTATCAAACGAAGACGGAACTCCGACTTCTTCCCGATACAAGATGGAATCTATCGCGAAGAAGTTCTACACCAACCTCTTCCGCTCATCAATACCCGTGCAGATGCCCGCTGTTCCCACTGGAGAAGTACCACCACGAATTCTACCTGCTGAAGTGCGTATCGCGATACAGACCATGAAGACGTCCACGGCTCCAGGACCAGATCATCTTTCCGTCGAACTTCTGCGAGCCGGAGGACACCGTCTACATGAGATTCTAGCGTCGCATTTGACATCTTACCTTCCCAAGGAAAGATTCCCGACCAGTGGAGAACGTCAAGAACCGTCCTTCTCTTCAAGAAGGGTGAACGGGAGGATCTTCGGAACTATCGTCCAATATGCTTGCTGGGTGTGCTGTACAAACTTTTCACGAAGATTATCCTCGCTCGCATATCAAGGACACTGGATGAAGCCCAACCCCAAGAACAAGCTGGACTTCGCAAAGGATTCAGCTGCATGGACCACATCCAGACCGTTTCGAGGGTCATAGAAATCTGCCGGGAGTACCGACTGCCTCTCGTCCTAAACTTTGTCGACTACGAGAAAGCCTTTGACAGCGTCGAAACCAACGCCATCCTGTCTGCGCTAGTCGATCAAGGAGTGGACCCAGCTTACGTGAGGACGTTAGCCGACTGCTACAAGGACTGTACAACGACGATGCAGCTATTCCATCGCCCCCTGACCATGCCAATCGGGAAGGCGGTCCGACAAGGCGACACAATCTCGCCGAAGCTGTTCACCGCGGCCTTGCAGTGGGTGATGAAGTCACTGGACTGGGACGAGAGAGGCATACGAGTTGATGGGAGATTCCTGTCCAACCTTCGTTTTGCGGACGACATCGTTCTCTTCTCGAGCAGTATCACCGAAGCAGAGACGATGCTGAAGGAACTAAACGAAGTAGGGAAGAAGATCGGACTGCGAATAAATCGGAAGAAGACTCAGTTCATGAAGAACGCCCTTTGCGAAGATGCAGAAATGGAGTTGAAAGGCACCCCGATTATGGAGACGTCTTCCTACGTGTATCTCGGACGTTCGATGAACATGGAGAACGACTTGAGGGAAGAACTTAACAGGAGAAGAAGAGCAGCCTGGGCCGCCTTCGGGCCTCTGAAGGAAGCCACCGACCAACTGACGGACCCGGAGCTTCGTGCCCACCTGTTCGACTCAACCGTTCTCTCGGCGCTCTGTTACGCAGCTGAGACTTGGACCGACACTGTAGCCACGTCGAAAGCTTTACGGACCACCCACAGAGCGCTCGAGCGCAGTCTTCTGAAGATGACCCGACGCAAGCAACATCTAGTCGGACTTCGCAACACGGATATGAGAAGGATGTCCCGTCTTCGTGACCCAGCGGAATACGTCGCGAAAGCCAAACACCGATGGGCCGGTCACATAATGAGAAGAACAGACGACAGATGGACACTAAGAACATCGGAGTGGATTCCTCGCGAAGCCAAACGTCCTCGAGGAAGACCACCGACGAGATGGACAGACGTGTTCGTGGAACGGATGGACCAGCTGAGAAATCAGCTGGATACGACTTTCGCCCCTGGAACTCGTGGACGCAGCCACCGACGACGGCCAAGAAGATCGTGGATGTCTGAAGACTGGGGCCCGCACGTCACGTGAGGACGGGCCATCTAAGTGCCTAAGTATTGACTTTGGGAGAGGAGAGGGGTGTCTTTACCTTGGCGAAGCGCAATCTGTATTGTGGGTGAAGCCTCGGAAGCATTATTATGTTTAAGAGTAATAGTAGACACGCCTCATCGGTAGCACAGGAACGGGGTAGCTCCAGTGTTTGAACTTTCTTTCTGTGTAGTTCAGTCTTTGTAATTTCTAATTCGTAGAAAAATTGTTATTTTATGTCTTAAGGATAAAGTTAGTATTTTTGTATATTTTGTAACGCGCGAGGGCAATTAGTAGGGCAGGTAGCATCGCATGTATTAAGCGGGAAGTGCAGTGAATCTCGGGTAAAGCCTAGGTGCTTAGGACCTACTAAGCCGCCACAACAGGTTTGAGTACATATCGTCTGTGCCCGAGAAAGGTTCCCATAGGTAGCATCAGCACATACACGTATTGCCTTTCGATCGTTCCAGCATGTCAACTGCGAAGGCGCCATAAGCTCGCTGGAGTTAATGTGCTAAAGTGATCGAAAGTCAGCCACGTTGATGGTTCCTATGAGAACCTATTCACAAACCCTATGCATGGTTTATGGCCCAGGTACTACCTGCCAAAGCGTACCACTCAAAAGTAATCTACTGAAGTCAAGCTCTTATCTTGAGCATAACATAAGCAATGTTATAAAGAATGATTTACGATCAAAGGTTTTGTTGATGTCGTGTTGACTACACTCTCAAGCAGTAAAAACTCGACCTTGTTCTGTTTCATTGAATTAAGAGTTTCTGAGTCTAACCTGGAAACTTTCCTTACAACCTCACAGGGAACGGCCATAGGTTGTCGGTGTTGTTGGTATTGTCGATGTTGTCGGTGTTGTCGGGGTTGCTGGGGTCAGAGACAGTTTAAAGAGCGCACGAAACGTGGAGGCTACCATCAGGTCCTACAACGACCGGCAACCTCGGCAACCCCGACAACATCGACAACACCGAGAACCTATGGCCGTTCCCATGGCCACGACGAAAAAAAAGGAGCAAGTTTGGTTCACTTTGTAATCCTCTCTTACAAAAATCAAATCCAGCCAACATCAAAATGAAATAGCAATATTCATCACATCTTGCTCTCGCTATGTACATTAGCAACATACACGCATTTCATTAATGACATAAGGTACCATAGTCAGTACTGACACAAAGAGAAATTTCTACAATAGTAGTGAAGAAGGCTATCAAAGAACGTGGTCAAAGATGCTTTGAGCTTCTCGTCAATACCGTAGCCACAAAACGAGACGTAAGGAACGGGAAACGTTGAGATAGACGCACAAAAAGGGAGAAATCACATAGAATTGTTGCCACACCGTGTTAGTGAACATAAAGCGTGTGTGAAGAACAAAAAGAGATTAAAAAGAACGGCACACCGGTTCTAATTGTACATGTCCTGCAGTACGATATGCTATAAAACATTAACAGCAGTGACTGTCATAGAAGATACCTTTTGATTTGGTAAAGAGGATTTGAAAAAGTGTGACTGCGCCCCTACTGCAGCCGACTAGGAAAAATGAAGAACAATGCCTTGAGCGATGAGAACGAGAACTAACGTGCAGCTAACAAGTGTCACAACCACAGTGAATATCGCCAGATAGGGCGAGACCGAAATAACAGCGCATAGGCACATCGAAATTGCAGAAAGTCAAACTAATACGCACAAAGTGAGTACCATAGTACACGCAGTAAATTTTCAAAAGAAAAACAAGTACTTGGCAACTTGATCACTATTAGACACTAATTTCAAACATTTACGTGTAGGCAGCGTTTCTGGTGACGCCATTGGGTGTTGAAATGGTGAAATCATCGACGAGGTTTGTGGCTGAGTTTGACGAGAGATCAAGGCTGGCAAGCGATGCAGATGGCCGATGAAGTAGTACCCGCACTTGACGTAAACTGATGTTTACATCACGGAACAACTGCATCTGTAAAAATGTTGGTCATGGCCTCTTCAAAAAATAGAATGAAATCAACACAAGTCATATCTTGCGTACCTGGAATATCCCGATGATGGTCGTCAAGAAACCTATCACGTTACCTAGGATATCTGAAGCACCAAGACAAGACCATTCCTGAAATGAGTGCAATGCATTCAATGGGACAGAAAGAGATGTGATGATATAACTGTCCAAAAATGAGCACTACGACATAAAACTCTTCTGAAAGATTTGAAGCATTTTCAAAGGACACCTCCAGTTTAACTCGATAGGCAGATGGCTATCGGCCTAAGGTTGCAAAAAAACAACTCTTCACACCTGACTTCTCAAGTTTAGCTTCTGTGCTGATATATCCAATCCTGAAGCGATCTTATAGATGAAAAAATCAAAAGCCATTCGCTTGTCTTATATATAAAGCTGAATGCCTGTTTGTATGTCTGTCTGTATGTATGTGTATATGTATGTTCCGAATAGAAAATTTCACTTCTGAACCAATCCGAACCAAACTTTGCACACACACTTCGTAGCCGGGCGGGTGTCATAGGCTACTTTCATCGATAGATGTCGATTTTATTGATTTATAAAAAAGTTCAAGCTACGGACTGGTAGTTGGCACAGAAGGGTAAGTAAGCATGCTGATTACGAATGTATAATTGACAGGGCCGGGCGGAGCCGGGTTTGCTAGCTAGTCGTCTACAAATACAAAAAGTGCTTTCAAGCACACGAAAACGCAAAGTGGGAAAAAATAGAGCAGGTGAAGAACGAAAGCAAGAATCGAAATAACTAACCTTATACAAAATTGAAGAAGCTAGTATAACAAATGTTGTGAAGAATACATAGTAGATCGGCGTAACCATGGATGTATTGAACATATCGAGAGCTTTATTTAGATACACCTGGACATAATATTCAACTGCTGGAATCAAATGTGCAAACATTTACCAATTGTACTGAAACGCAAGCGGTCACCGATACAAGCCAAAAGTAAGTGAGTAGATTTGTAAGTTGTTGATTGCCCGATATAGTTTCTTTGATTGCCAAGCCAAGACCCTGGAAAGATGAATTTGAAGTAAAATTATTATACAAGTGTTCTAAGCCCGCTCACCTTGACTGAAAGCACAGAAAGCGACCCGATTAACGAGCAAACGCTGATATAGACAATTATATTGGATCTGCCATAACGAGGTGCTACATAGATTGTAATGAACAGGGTGACCAATATGACACTAACAACGTATAATATGAACACTGAAAAATTCCAGAATTGTAGAAAAATTGCGTACATAGATGTAATCACCTGCATCCTTCATCTTCAGTGCTAAATCTGCCATCGTAGCCACTTCCTCCTCTTTGGGAGAATGGATCACTATGACAGTTGAGCCGAGCAGACATACTGCGCATCCGATTTTACCAAGGAGATTGAGTCTTTCTTTCAAAAGGCGTGATGACAGAACAGCACTAAAAAGTATTTGTTTACTTATGTAAAAACGGCACTAAGCTCAGAAAAATAGACTTACGTTACTAAAACAGACAGTGCTCCAAGTGGAGTTACCAGACTTGCAGGGGCAAATGCATACGCGGCGAAATTGCACGCTTCTCCCACTCCCACTGAAATTTACTTCGATCAGATTGGTATATTGTACCAATTACCCTCGATCAGCACAAACAATTCTTTTCTCCTATGAAAAACAGCCTAAAGACATCCTAAGACAAAGAAAAACGCGAAGTTCTCTTGTACAATGTGATATGCTTTACAGCGCGCAAGCTCAAATTCCTTTCGAAGTTCTGAAGCTTATGGAAGTAACAGTGGCAACTTTAGCTTCAAAGATCACTACTTTCAACAATTCTCCCAAAACCGATATCAATAACTACTCAGCGGAGGAAAGTAGCGAAATTATATTCTCTTCAGAACAGATAGCTTGACATAGAGCGCAATGACTGTTGTGGACACAGCTTTGCAGGCTACCATGACTACATGGCTGCATAAGTATTATTCATCAGCCCAAAAAGTAAAATTAGACGAAAATTTCTCTCATCCTGACATTACAAATTGTGTAGAGACAGATAGAAGCGCTACCATTTTTCGAGAACATGCATTGGCTACTAACCAGACCTGCAACAGGCTAATGCTAATTCCTGGAGCACTATTTCACTTGAACTGATGTGCACACATGGTATAAAAGAGAGAGTAGCAACTTCAAAAAAAACCGACAGAAACCTCTTAAATAGGAAACAACGGAGAAAAAAAGAAAATTTTCGTTATACAAGATAACCTACTTGTTATTACTCCCATCCACCACATCCATTCGCGTAGATACCCGTATCCGCCCTCGCTTGCTCGTTGGGCTATATCGCCACTTGCAAGCTGCAAAAAAGACACTGAATGACTTCACCTTCTAATCGACTGCGCCATCGCGTACAGAGATAGAAGTTTACCTTTATGAGAGCCTTCTTCTTGATGATAAAAGAACTGCCGATGAAGAGCGAAGATGAAACGGCTAGTGCAAGTCCGATATAGAAATCGGACATTTTTGACGGGGACGTTTCCAAAGGTGTCATTGCGGTAGCCAAAAGCGAATCATTACTTCCCATACTGAAAGAAAACAGCATAATATAACAGCACAAATCGGTATGTTGCAAGAACTGACAGGTCGTTAAATTCAGGGGACGCTATTCAGACAAGTACGATACTTCAAAGTGTGTTGAAACAAGAGCAATATTTTTTGTAAGGGAAGTAAAACAATCGATGATCTCAAATCTTTCCTAGAAATCTCAACAACATCTCAACAATGATTTATGGACATGTTTTTTTGCTGCAAATTGCAAACCCTCTTCATCGATGTTGCCGATAATTTCCCTATGTAAAATCTTCAAAGAGCCATAAATCATTCGATCGATCAAACAGTTACAATCGCATATGCCCTTGCAGATTATTGAAGTTCCCATAGCTGAGTGAATATGAACATAAACATAAGATGAGACAGAAGTCAGTGGAAACACAAGAAATAAGTCAAGAAAAAAATTGAGGAAAACAATATACAAGGTACAGAGTTGCAAGATGATGGGCGGTTGGAAACTGATGAATTCGTAGACGAGCAAAATTTTCTAGAAAAGTTAATTCGAAGTTAGATATCATGCAAGGTTGTTGCTGCGCAAGTGATGATTTACATCATCAAGAAAGTAACAAAGCAGGATCAGTAATTGATATTGTGGGTGTTCCAAGAAGAACCAAATTGACAGTGGCATAAAACTTTCGATGTGTGCATTTCCTTTCTTTCCCGAATACTCGAATTGCCTTTTCCAGTCCTAACAATGAGAGGCATTCGAGCAAACACTCTTAGCTAACTACACTCTACGTATACACACACTGCGCTCCTTATCATGTGCAAACAGATTGACGTTGATATCTGAGATTGACATCAGGAAGAGAGGTGTTTCTCAAAAAATTATTCTTTGGTAAGAAAATCGCGATAACAAATTAAGATAGTGGGATTGCAGCACCGAACATCTAACATAAGAGCCAAGATTTTCAAAATTTGAAAGCTGATGCCTACAGTCTTTCGCGTTGGCAGATTTGGAAAAAAAGGAACTGTGACAATTTACTGGCACCGTCCAAATTTTTTCTAATATCATATCAACATGAAAAACTGCTGGAACAGCCTACAAAACTCATCACTGAGCTAAAGCCAGCTCAGCTTCATATTGAAAGTCAGATTGGTTGGATGACAAACGCAACTCTCTGGTTTTTTGTATTGTCACGAGATACCATTACGCAAATGCATAAGTAAATTAATGTAAAATGTAGTAACTGCAGTTCTCACATGGAAAAACACGAAGAGTAAGAAGCATATTAAAAGTGAATCCATGTGCAAAGACAAAAATGAAAAAAGGAACATGAATGAAGAGAAAGTTGGCCTGGCGTGGAATGAACTAAAGTGGAAAAATTGTATCAAATTAAGATGGTGGCAGAGATAAGCAGCAGTCGGTGATTACAGCCACGTAGCCATAATGAAGCTCACATGTTAAACAAACAACTTTACAGTTTCAAACCAAACTTTGTTATGCAAGAAAACAGAATAATGAATACGCATCGATAACATGAAGTTCTAGAAATTCCCACCCGAATCAGCGCAGCCATGTCAAGATTACCCAGTACTCATAGATAATTTCACCAATTTGAATGCACGTAAACTCAGTTTTGGCAAGATTAGTTTCCAAACTTCAGCAGATAGAAACCGCTGTATGATCCCTCAAAATTCGTCAAAGGGTCAGCCAGCTCCACCGGAGTCAAGTAAGTTCGCGTCGCATCGCCGTATCTTGGTTCAGAGTGGATGAATTTTGGATCCAAGGGCATCTACTCTGCTCGGCAAGGCACAACTCCCGATATATAGAAGTGTGCCTCTGGATACGATAGGTGCATGGTAGGCCGTCAGATTTCACGAATCTTTTCAGATTGTTAGGCCCCGGTCAGACTTCACGCGATTTGATCGTCGCGACTCAATCGCCGACATTTCCATTTATTTTCATTTCACATTCAAAAATTTCGGGCTGGAGAAGTATCACAACCGAATGAAAGTTGATCAGCATGGAATGATGTTGTAACAGTTGTCTCCTCGCGATTCAGTCGCGACGATCAAATCGCGTCAAGTCTGCCCGGGGCCTTAACGATAGGTTGGCTAGTCTGCTCTTCATTGCACAATGAATGACCTACCGTAGGCCAGCCAGCTATATATGTGCATGCCGTCCAAATGGGCATTTCTATAGAAGATGCGCCTCGTTGAGCTGAGTCCAAAGATGTCCTTGGATACAGAATACATCCACTTCGAACCAAGATAATATGGCATGCGTGCAGGAATCGGTAAACTCAGGTAGAATTCGTTGCTTTTTTTTGACGAATTAAGAGCGGCATCGTACATAAATAAAAAGCTCACGAGAAGCTTTTCTGTCTCTAACAAACGATGTGCGAAACTCTGCAGGAAAGGCCATAGACGAGAGAGCAGTGCTGAGTGCTGCAGGCGGAGATCAAAGCTGACGGAAACTTCATAAAATCAAAACTTGGTCCATAGCGTACAGAAAATTGGAACTGGGAAAACCGCTTTTTGTAAGCTGGCCTTACCCATAGAGTTGAGCGTTTCTTAGATAGTCCAAGTTTCACGTAGATAAAAACTGTTAAAATTGGACTGAATTGGCTACAGTCGGGAGTAAGAATAGAGTCAACTGCCCTTCAAAGCGAAAAAAAGGAAAGAACTCGGAAAATATTGATGTTCCACTTGACGTTATTCATTAAATGTTGATGCTGCGTCTAGTTCTGATTTCTGTAAAGTATAAATGATGTCATTCACATCATTTCAGAAAAAAAAACGCGAGAAACTGTCACAAAATTGGGACCACTAGGCGATTACCTCTTGTGTGATCGGAACAAATTGACCTACTCCTTTATATGTCGAACGATTCAGCGATAACATATCAATGGTTTGTCAGATAAAGGCAAGACGACAATGATATCCTGCACATTGCATAAAACTTCTACACAAAATTTCGAAGTGAAGTGCTGCGTTTTGCGACTATAAACATCAGTTTTTGACGCTACCGAAGTGATGAGTTTGAAATGACTACCCAAGCAGCAATTACAAATTCCCTTGAAAACAAAGTCGAAAAAATGTTTTTGCCTATGTTGCCATGGTATAGCTGCGTATATTCGTTGGCTACAAACATCAAATTAATGAAAATTGTTATGTTTTGAAGCTTCAAAGCTGTATACGATACATTGAAACATCTAGCATATTAAATGTGGTAAAATCTATATGAACTTAGCTAAAATTTCACCAGTGAAAGATCTTGAAAAGAGTGAAGTCCGAAAGTCCGCAAACAAAGACTTCGGTCCAGATTGAGAATGGAAAGATTGATCTAATCTTTGCATTGCATGCCTTGCGGGTAAAAAGAGCAGTAGACACTTTTCGATACCCCTCCAAAACCAAAAAAAGCCTACAATTTCAGACAAACTTATGCTAAGGTCAAAGATCGGAAGAGATCTGCAATGCTGATTGATGACTTGTGTGAAGAAAACCAGAAATCGCACATATGTGCAGTTGTCGAGTGATCGAACGTCCACTGTGAAGATCATCTATCTACAGGTAAGAAAACACATAATGATGAAAAGTGCGAAAGGAGAAAGTCTAGAAGATCTACACAAATGCAGATGCTGTATTTTCCCTACTGAAGCCCAGTAAAAATAATTAGCCTAGTTCCACTCCTCATAGCGAATGTAAGCCACAAAAATGATGTCCAGAAAGCACAGATTCTAGCTTTGTGTCTAGTTCACCTCCGTTAGTGTATGTCTCTTATCACTTAAATGTTTATGCGCTGATAAATTCAATCACCATTTCCTAGCTAACACAGTGCTCCCTAAAGAAACTGCTTCGATGCAAAATGTCAAAAAGTTCAGCGGCGTCAATCTAGATTGCACACTGGAAAAAATTACTATGCGATCACTAGTACTTCTAATGGATTATATTAGTAAAAACCAGATTTCCATATAATTACACTATCCGACATGTGACATATTCACGCGAACCTGGACAAAAACACAGTTAACATTCTAACAGAGTTCAATAAACAAAACGCAGAAAATATAACATAGACTGATGCAGAGTGCAAAATCCTGCGAACGCAACATCAGAGAAATCACGGGTGATTCTATATCCCAAAACATCATGAGTTTCAGAATGCAAGGTGATAGTATAAAGTACATAACGATAATGAGTGCGCAAAGTTCAGAACGAGAGCAGGCTAACCCATTAATAATAACGATAAGACAAGAATAAATTAAGCACAAATACTGGGAGTATAGTGATATATCGTGCCTATACGCTAAAAGCTTCTCTGTGGAGGAAAAAATTCTCAAACATGGCTTGTAGATAGTGTACAGATACGAGAAAACAAAAGCAACTGTATCGACTTTTTGCAAAGCTGCTAGGTGGTCCAGACAAAATTCATCATCATTCAAATTCATCAAGCCATGTTTGAGAACTTTTCCATCATCTGGTCTTTTCAATTATTACAGAAATGAAAAGCGAAAAACGAAGCAACTGATTCGCTATAGCAAGAAATGAGATTTACATCGCTGTAAGAAGATCAAAGAATAAATTGTCGACCAAAAAGTTATCAGGACTCAAAATGAAGGGAAAGTAAGCACTATCGTCTAAAACATGGGCGATACGATCTCCTTCTCCTATTTGAGCCTAAGACATAGCTCACGCGATTCGGCCGAATCGCCACTTTCACGCGACTTGGCGATTTGCCAGGTTTCTACAAATTTATCGTGCGCGCTTCTCGGATGCATATTTGGATAGCTTGTGTAAGTTGTCGCAAATGGAGCAAGTTCTGACCAAAGGCAGCGCATTAACGACGAATTACGAAGCGTCGCTGTTGAATCGCGCGAGGTATGCCTTAGGCCTTACCTGAGCCATCTTCTTCTCTATTTGTAGTACTTCGACATAGATTGCTTCATAAAAAAAGTTCCACTCATCACATTTTTCAAAATGACAAAAATTCACTTCGTAAATCGATGCTACCCATATAGAATGCCTTCCC